GGCTGGAGCCCAGGTGAGGGGCGTGGGGGGGCTTTCGGGGCCAGGAGGGACCTGGCGCCATGGCTCATGCCCCTCCTGCTGCAGGCTGCAGGAGCCCCGGGAGCCCAAGGAGGAACAGGCGCAGGTGCTGCTCAAGATCTGCGACGACAGCGAAGTGAAGCGCCCGGGTGACGAATTCCCCCCGCGCCCTTTTCTGGCCACTGACCCTGCTGAGGTGCCGTGCCTTCCCTTCCCCAGGGACACCTCGCCCGGTGGCAAGGAAGGGGCTCCAGCCAGCCCCAGGGAGGGCTGCGTGCCCAGCGGTGCCCCCAGAGACCCTTCCCCGAAAAGCAAAGACTGCTGCAGGGGACAGCAGAAAAGCGGGGCCGAGAGTGCCGCCTGGAAAGAGCTTGCACCGTAGAACCCGACACCGAGCGAGTGCGCGGAGCTGCTTGGCGCTCGCTGTGCAAAAGCTGTGCCCTGATTGTCAACCAGCTCCTCTTGCCTTGTGTCACGAGCAAAGGCAGGAAAACACAGCCTGGGCACACAGTGTCTGCAGCGTATCAAAAGCCTGCCTTAGGGCGACTTTGTTCGTCCAAAAAAATAATTGTCTATACTCTCCCTCTCGTGTGTTAGAAGTGAAATAAAAGGGCGCAAGTGTACACATCCGCTTGGTTCTGCGGCTCTGGACAAAACGGGCCTGCCGGCTCGGGGGGTCCAGCTGCTCTTAAAACCACAACGTTTGCAAACATGGGGAAAAAAAAAACCAACAAAAAATGCCTGGTGTAGGGTAAAGCCAGGAGCTCACTGCAGGGTCTCAGAGCGTCCTGCAAACCGCTGACAGGCAGCGGAGGCAAAAACGCAGGCAGGGCACTACAAAGCAGCACTCTGCTCCTTGTTCATCTGTGCCATTTAAAAACTTACTGACTGCTGCAGCGCAGGAGGGCAGGGTTTGATGGCTTCCTCCGGCTTTTCGCTAAAGATTCAGACACCTTCCCCACGCCTGGTGAATTCCTGTCTCCTAACCAAGCTTCCACTCATAGGATTCAGGAAAATAAAAGGTTAAGAGAGGCTGCGGGTGTCAAAAGCACTGAGAGGGCTCTGAACATTTTGCTTAAGGTGAAGTTTATCCCTTTCTTTTGGTGCTAACACATTCCGCCTTGGGCAGACCCTGCTGCCACACAGCTGGAACCGGGGTCAGAGCTACTGCTGGCACACTCTTGCAAATTAGGATCTACAAAGAACAACTTGAGAATAAAGCCTAGTTTCCATCATCAGCTCACGTCAAACCCAAGCAACAATTGCTTTGTTTGTTTCAAAGTACACTTGTGCAAGTTTACAGCAGAAACGTTAACACCTACAAAAAAATTAGTTAAAAACTAACTCGCCCGAGGAACATTGGCTATAACAGCAGGTCACGGCTTCCGTGAGGACGTGCGTTAGAGGCACAGAAAAGGCTGAGCAGGAGACTACGAGTGACTACTCAGAGAAATCGGCACTACCCAGCTGGTGTATTTTCATGTTTGCTCTTTTCTCCCAAGCTAAAAACACGCTCTATGTAAGACAAATTACCAGCGAAGGTGTTAAGCTGATGCTCCGGGCAGTGCTCTTTGCACTTTGCAAAACAAAGCAAACCCGACGGAGGAAGGACTGTGCATCAGTTAAGTGAGGAGAGACAGAGATCTCGCCCCGTCTCTGTGGCTGTGCAGCCCTCCGAGTCACTGCAAGTTGTGGTTGTGCTTCAACGCAACACTGAAGTGTACTGAAAACCCACTGGGAATTGTAAAAGTAAGGATTCCAGTTTCAATGATGTCACCAGCACCTCAAGAGATCTCCAAACAATCACCAGACAGAAGTTGGCAATATTTTTTTTGTTTTTTATAAAAAAACCCCACAAACCCAAAACCAAAGCAATTTCCATCAGTGCCCCCTTTCCTGAGCCATACCACAGCACCTTTGCCAAGGAACACCGCAAGCCCGAAGCGTGAACTGACAAGAAACTCGTTTCCATTCCAGCTAGGAAGAATAATGTAGAACTCAAGAACAGTGAACCTCTTTGGTATATAATGACAGAACAAGTTATACCACAAAGCTCGAGTAGGAACCATTTCCAAAATGGTAACGTTTAAAATAGCGTTAGCTAGCCAAACTTTTTTCCCATTTGGAGAATTTCCCTAGAAGCATCTCCTAGTTGCGCCAACATCCCAGGCTTCGCCCAAAAAAGCAGGCAAGGATCTTGAAGGCTAAAGACCTTGGCGAGCCTGGCAGCTGCAGTTCTTTCCCAACCCAAAATCCTGGGATCTCTGCAGGACGGAGGCGGCCTGGCAGGATAGGAAGCAGCGCGATTTGGAAGTAGGTAGAGGGAACAGAGGTGGCGGCGGGGAGGCTCAGGAAGGCGGCGGCTGAAACGGTGACTCCCGAATTCGCAGCAGCCGCCAAGGGAGGAGGGAGCGGGCTCGCTCTCCTGCCGCGTTTCACATTGGCGCTCGTGATCCAGCAGCATGAGGTGAGCGGAAAAGGCTCCCTGTGAACATTAACGCCTGGGGGAGAACCGATTGGTGCCACGCTGCCAGCTCTCCAGCAAGCAGAGGGTAGGCAGCCCCCGCACCTGAAGAGCGGCAAGCTGGAGGCCTGCTCCTGCGAGCCGCCCAAGCGCCAGCTTGCAGAATCAGACCTAAAGAGATTAAAGCCGCCCTGCCTGGCTCGCAAGGTCAAAAAGCTTTAAAATCGAATTATGCCATAGGAACAATCCGCTGACCGGCACCTTTCCTGCACGGGAGCGGGAGGGCAGAGCTGTGCTCCAGAAGAATCAGTCCAGAGGCATTTCAGTACAATTCAGCTACTGCAGGCAGGAGGGTTTGATTCTCTTTAGGGTCGCTACCGGCTAAGTTATCTGGAAGATCCCTGAATGTGCAAAAAAGGACTTATCTCGAAGAGGACGAACAAGCTTCTGACCTGCTAGTGACCCGGCAGACCGCCCAGCTCTGCAGCCCTTTACCAGCTCCTCCTGGGCGGCCAGGAAATACCAACAGGCTACTCCCGGCACCAGCCCCACGCACCGTCCCTCGCCCCGCAGCGCCTAGAGCTGGACGTTCATTCAGCCAGTCCAGTTTTCGCCCGCATTACAGTTCCACTTTGACTCCTTTAATGAAAGGGAGACCCGATGGCACCTTCCTTTTGTACTCCAGGTACTCTTCTCCAAAGAAGTGAATGAGCGTGATCTCCTCCTCCTCGATCCGCTCCCTGAAGAAGCGCCAGGACGCCAGCGCGTAGCCCACCACGCAGATGGGATTGCAGAGTAACACCTGCGAACAGACATCGGCGGTTAGCATCCCCTCGCCTCCCAAAGAAACCGAGGCTGCCCCCTGCTCCCACATGCTAATCACCCTTCATTAAGTTTGCCATGAGGTCTAAACACTCTACAAAGAAAAGAAAAGACCCCAGCACCTTTTGTGGAATTTCATTCTGGGGAGAAATTAGTGCTTATGAAGAATGCGGCCCGGGGGCAGCTGCCGGCTCCTGCCGCCCCAGCTAAGAGCGGCGCCCCAGCTCTAGAGAGCCCGTGTGCGGCCGTGCTGCTCCGCGTGCAGTCTTTACAGTCTCTCCAGAGAAATAAAACCAAATGCCAACCACCAGCCAACCATGAGAAAAGCACGACTAAGGCAGCGCTGAGTTACAGCTCGACCGCAGCTGGCTTCCAATTTACCCTCTGGCCAGGGCCCTGGGCACTCTTACAGGGAGTTTTCTTTGCCATCCAGCACGGGACTGGTATTTTGCAGGAGCGAGGCTGAGTCCGACTGCTTACGGAAGGCATTTTGGCCATAGGAATGCAAGGAAACTCTGGACATCAGCTTTAGGCTAACAGCGGATCGCAGCCCAAGCCTCCAAAGGCGTTCTGGCTCAAACCCCGGCCCCGCTGCCCCTGCTTATTCCACACAGAAGATTAAGGCGATGGGGTCTTCCCAAAGATCACACGGGGCAGAGTGCTCGGGGTTTCCTGGCCCCCTACATGCCGGTGGGCGGAAGGAGGCGTCAAAATCCGCGCCCGGGCCACCCCTGCTGCTGACTGCCAGTGGTTTGCATCCCGTTACGGGTGTGGGGCAGCATTAAGAAGAAAGACCCAGGTTATAAGACGAAAGTATCTGAGCGCATTGTATACAGTACCTGTGTTCCAATACTCCAGTAAAACCATCCCACGTAAGACGGGTGCCGGAACCACCCATACACCCCACTTGTCACCAAAGTATGAGTATCCGATTTCTCATTCTGAACAATATGGTTGAAGTTGGAGCCAGCTGTGAGCATGGCCGCTTTCCTCAGACAATCCCCAAAGATCACCATCAACAACCCTACAGTACTCAGCCAGGTGATCTGCTTCAGCTCTGCAAGTGAATAAGGACGGGTCACAACAGGTTTGCACAGATCACGCTCGCGGTGCGGGGGGTCACGGGG